GTAAAGGGTGTCACATCAAAATGCTAGAGAAATCTCTAACTTCTTTACACTAGGCAAGGGGTTTCTTGTTTGGTGTCGTTTTGATGAATTCCTTGAAAATAGATGATGTCATGTGTGACCTGGATCACATGCTGAGCGATTTTGTTTCAGAAGGGTCCCTAAATACTTAGCGCTAGGCTTGGGAGTATCCACACAAGGCACTATTTAGGTAGAGAAGTCCCTGATCTCTCCACACTAGGTGTGGGCACCAACATGCCGAGCATGAATCTGGTAGAAAGATCCATGATCTCTCTATGTTTGGTGTGATTTCTAGCTCATTGAGTGCCATGCTACTATGGAAATAGGTTTAGTGTATAAGGGTAAGTTAGTAGTGGAGAAGCATGTGAGGAGTACTTAATGTGCGATTAAAACAATAAAATAATGAATTTAGTACTCGTGCTAAAATCAAGAACACTACTAGAAAATTGCAAAATAGCGACCAAAATTAGCGACCGAAATTTATCAATCGCTATTTAGCGACTGATTTAGCGACCAAAATAAGTCGTCGCTAGAAAATTGATCGCTAAATAAATTTTTTTAATTTTTTAGCGACGAAATTAAATTCGGTCGCTAAATTATAAATTTTGATTTTTTTAGCGCCAAATTAAATTTAAAGGGTCATCTGGAGTGTTGTGAACTGATCCATGTTGATGGAAATCTAACTGTTAAGTCTCAATTTTACCTCTTTTTGGATGAGACTTATTAAACAAATTTTGGTCATCCTCTGAACAATTGCAATATAATTGTTCTCTTTTTGGTTCATTTTGTGTGCAGATATAACTAACCCAAATTTAGCTAACAATACCATAATACATCTCATTTTTTGTGCAGGTATTGAGCTAGAGACTTGAGGATTTGAAGACCCATAGGATTGGAAACCAAAGAGGCTAAGGAGCAGAGAAGAGGTGTTGCGCCGGGCGCAATAAGACCCGCGCCGGGCGAGCAAAGCAGAGTATTTCGTCTCTGGAAGCCAATGCGCCGGGCGCAATATGAATTGCGCCGGGCGCGTGTCTTAAGGCAGAAAGTTTGTTGGGAAGGCTTCGCGCCGGGCGCCAAGACTTACGCGCCGGGCGCGGAACCCTAATCTGATCTCCCAGGCCCGTATTTGAAGCCATTTTCGGGGGAGAAACCTCCATTCTCACATTGGGCGCCTCCAGGAGCTGCGGAAGGGATTCCCAGGGCTTGGGATCGTCCGTGTGCGGATCTTTCCTTCGGTTCTTCACTTCCTCTTCCATCTCTATTTTGTATTTGCCCTCTTTGTTGAGTGGTTTCACCCATTTTGTGGGGTTAGATGTAACCAACGTACTCTATTGTAATCTTTACGGTTTTAATGATATATATACATGTTGTTTTATTCTTTGTTGTGTTTGTTTCTATTCTTAATGCTTGCTTTGGATTGATCACCCTTTGCATGATTTAAGGTTCCATGGGTATTGGAAAATAACCTTTGAAACTAGTTCTGAAACATATGCCTAGTGGTGATTGTATCTAGGGATAGAGCTTGACCCATTAGTAGTCTTAAACCCTAGCCCGTAATGCGGGTGTAGATATTGGGTACTCAAGGGATTGATATTCAATATCCGCACCTAGGCTCTTTCTCTAAGGGATTAGGTTTGAGTAAACTTATGGGTTGA